AAATTGAAACATTCCACATTTCAATCGTATCAGGTATTATTGCGGTTTGAACTTTAACATCGCAATTGTATGTTGTTTAGATATCCCTGTTTACATTGTCAGTAATTTACGATATGTGATTCGTTTTTTTTTACAAAAGGTAAATGCACTTAAATGAAAATGTATGCAATATTAACTATGCGTAAATTCACAAAGTAAAACTTGTTTTGTTGACCATGTTCTTCTGTGATTTTAATACGTTAACCAGAGCTCACCTTCTGAAAATAATTAGTACTGGTTTGTAATTTAGCTCTTGAAACAGAGGAAAGAGTTAATGAACGCATTAACTTTAAGTTAAATGTTTTTGACAATCGAATTAACAGCTAAGACCATTTTATATGCAAGTCTTATGTACGATTAGTGATTTAGTTTAATACATTTTAATACATAATTACGCTTAATTGCTAATAGTACTAACGATTTAAAAGTTAAATAAAGGATGTCTGTTTAAACGGTCATTATTAGTAGCTCACCGATCAAAATCATTAAAAAATGACAAACGTGTCACTAATCATGAAAAGAAAATACTGACTTAAACTCAAGCCACTTTTGTAAAATACAGCTTACAGAACGTTAACCTTATAAAACTATGGTGGCTGTTTAATGCCATCTGTGAACTTACTAATCGTCAAAATACAAATATTTAAACACGACAAAAAGTGACATTTTCGTGGTTTTGCGCTTTCGTGATATGAATTTTGGCAACAATAAGCCACCGTACTTTTTATTAAACATGACTTTCGCGTAATCTCTTTGAGGTTTTGAAAAACAATTTGTTCGAAAAATACTGAGCCATGTAATTGTACGACACGAAAGGTGCCCTTAGTCTGATGCTAAGCCAATTATAAATGCACATGAACTGATTTTAAAACGAGTTTATTTTTTCTGGAATAAGAATATTAAAATGCTTGCCAAGATTGTTTACTGGGAATGCAATATAGGAAAAAATAAGAGAAAAACACACAAGAAAAATAAGAAAAGGGATCATAAATCAATTAAGATTGTAACAATTATACTGTCATGTACCTTCTATTAAGATTATGGTAATTTGAAGAACGCTAAAACATCACTTTTTCATGTTAAACGATCTTTTGAATTCGTTAATAAATTATCAGTTATTTCGAGAAAAAAGGATTTGGCAGCAGTGCAACTATTTCTACATTTTGGTATCAAACACTTTTATATCCGTTTGCTGTAGCCTCATCTGTAACAAAACATTTTCAATGATTAAAACTAAATTCTAATTAATCTTAGAATGTGTTCAGGGCGATTTTCATAGCTTTTATTTCAACTTTTTGATAATTAAATTATGTTGTAGAAACATTTTGAATTAATTTTTATAATTTATCTAAAAGTACAAAATTACCTTTGTATATTATCAAAAGTAAAAAAAAAATGATTGATTATTCGAGGAAAGGTATATCTTAAAATCTGTAAAAGTTTGATTTGGAAAACAGTTCAAAGAAAAACAAACCACATCGTCATCATCATCGTCATCATCAACAACAACAACAACAACAAATTTAACAACAACAACAACAACAACAACAACAACAACAACAACAACAACAACAACAACAACAACAACAACAACAACAAATTTAGCAACAAATTTAACAACAAATTCAACAACAAACACAACAACAAACCCCACCCCACCACCCCAACAACAACAACAAACAAACCACATTTAACAAAACAAAATAATGCGAAAACAACAAAAATACGAAAACAAAATAATACGAAAAGTAATACGAAAACAAAATAATGCGAAAACGAAGTAATACGAAGACAAAATAATACGAAAGTGAATGAAACAAAGCAAATGAAATTAAAAAAAACGTTGGCTGTATAAATTTATCTTTTGTTTTCATACTCTGATTCACTATTTGTTCTCTCAAGTACAAACACACACACACGTGCACTCGAGTGAACTTAAACGTGCATAAATTGTCCTTTTGTTTCAGACGTTCGGCGATAATATCCATAAAATAGATTAGTAAAACAAATCGAGACAATGTTTTATGACTAAAAGAGATATTCTATCTGAAGATTTTTGTATGATTTTATGTAAACTTATCTATATTAACGTATACTTTTTATTCTTTCGTCTTAAAACCCTTGAAATAGAGAACGTTACGTTATCTCACATACCCATTAAATGCCTTTTAAACATTTCCCTATATTTTTGATATACCAGAAATGACCCATGAACATCATGCACTATGTGCCTTTAATATAATGAAAGAAAAAAATCACTGTTGGCAATGTGCTATCGGATATAGCGATTGCGAACGATTAATGTGTTTTATTGCTATGGATTATAGCATTTATAGCATGGGAGGGGTGTACTGGATTAAGATAGATGATGTCATGTCAAGTTAACAGAAAAATCATGACATATGTTATCGCGAGTCATCAGAAACCAGTGCCTGCCGACAGCTTTTTATTCCTGGGGGTTCAAAGTTATAACCGTTGAGATAAGTTTTCCTTTTCAATGCAAAAAAAATCATCATCATCATCATCATCATCATCATCATCATCATCAGCACCACCACCACCACATCATCATCCTCACCATCATCATCACCACCACCACATCATCATCATCATCACCACCCTTCTCATCATCACTATCATCATCACATCATTATGAGTAGTGTTAGTTCAACATTTAAAACAAGCATAAGGTCCACATAAACCATTAAAATGTAAATAAGAATAAAGCCGTGGTTTAAAGAATAATATATCTATAAATATTTGAACCGTCAAATACGAACACCTTCATTCACTTCGTTCACGAAAGCAGGCTAGACACACTAAACGCTTCATTTCAAGGAAAACACATTCGAACGAAAGTGATTTTACAAGTAACTGAGACTAATTTAAATTTTAAAGAGGTGATCACTTAAGCACAACCCTTGATAATTATGATGAAATGTTCTGCTTTTGCTTTCTAGATTTCACAGTGCCCGATGGCTTTTTGACAACGTTGTTCACCATTTATTTATAATGTGCAGGAGTTTACTTAAAACATTTGCTATGCAGACGTAAAATAATCACGTAAAACCTCACCGGTTGGTCCCATTCACAAAACCGAGCTTACAGGTCGACTTTTATTGCTGTTTTATTTTGAGAACAAGATGCTTCCAAATCTATGCCAGTTTCGATAAACGTTTGCAAGAGGCTGTTTTTTTTCCGTGACAGTATGCAGGGTTACATAAACGCTTACATTTATGAAAAGAAGAAATAGTCTTGGGTGTGCATAATTATGTCAGAAAAATGTTTAATGTATTATGATTTAATGGCCGGAACGCCCCTATTATCACGTAAAAGGTATAATCCGACGGTGAATTATGTCAAAGTATGGCAATATTAGTTCATAAAACTAAGAAAATCGGCTCCATAGCGCCAGTCGTACAAGGTTAGTGAAAACCAAATATGATATTAAATCTTGGTTGTCGGTACCTAGATATCCCATGCCAACAATGTTAACGTCTGATTAAAAATGACATTGATGTGTTAATCGGTACTTCAGTAGAACACATTTTAGTTCAGTCTGGTATTGAACACAAGAAAAATTTGAGCATGAACTGAATTTTCGTGTCTGGTGCCCGAAAACGAGATTAAACGTTGCCCTTTTAATTATGTAATGATAACTTTTAATAAGAAATTTTTGCAATATCATTTTGCGTAGAGGATTTTATTGACTTCTAGTGAAATACTGTAAGCCCTCGTTTTGATTCTTTATACTGTACGGTGCATTTTTTTGATTTCGAATCGTTAACTTTCTGAAAAGAATCTACGCTAATAATATTTTAAAGGTGTAGATATCAGGCAATTTGTAAAGGAAGAACGATAAGGTCTAAATGTCTTGGAAATGCCTCCAAAACGATTAAAACACGATTTTCCTAGAGAAAAATGGTGCTTAGTTTTTATGTAGCAAAAGAAGATTCTCGATAGCTGTTGGAGATAAATTTTAGAGAAAATAAATCTACCGACGGAAAATATTTCCCGAAAATGTTTACCAAGAATATTTATTTCTAGAAAAAGACAAACACATCAATTAAAATACCAATGTTTTGGAAGATGGTACCGAAACAGAATTTTTCTATATATTACATTTTGATTGGTGATGACTCAATCTTTGCAAGAGATTCTCGAGTGTCCCGGTTGAAGCATGTCATTAAATGAATACTTATTGCTTTGATCTTTTTATTACCTAATTAAAAAACTTTAATAGTTTGAATTTGATAAACTTCGTTTAAGAGATATGCTTTGATAACCTTTTTGTAAATATCTGAACTTTGGAGTACCTCTTTAATTTCCTGGCACCGGAATGTATATGAACAATTGATTTATGTTTAAATCTCCTGCAAGAACATGCCTTTGTTGAGATTCTAAAACTACTTAAAATAAAAGTACAATTTCTTCTTATCTTTAACCATATGTAAAACTCACATGGCTGTACCAGTTATTGGTACGTTAACTAAAGCCTTCGTTTCTTTGCTAGCACTTCTTGTTTTAACTGACTTAGTTAACAAGACAACAACAAGAGAGAAATAATATAATTTATTAGCTAAACAAAGTAAAGAAAATATAAAGAAAAGTAAATGATATTTTTGAAATCTTGTATACCATTGCACTGTGTTAAACACTTATAGCATTCACTTTAAGACTTTCAATTACAGGAAACGAGAAAAGATAAATGACATTTTAAAAGAATTGAAGAGTTATATTTAGAAACCATTGCATCTAAAGTAACTATTTTTACCGTAAAGAAAACAGATCTATTTCGACAGCAATTTTCAGATCTAAGCTCCTTGTCTCTGGAAAGGAAACACATTTATCTAATATCATGCAGTATTTAATCATGTAAGATCATAACATTATAATACTAGGTATACATAATGTTTATTTTTATGTATGGTCAAACTAATTTGTTGTCCATTTGTTTCCAGTATGTTCGACGACAGGGCCTTTGGGTATGATTACAGGAGAGATGAAGGACTGGCAAATAACAGCATCATCTGCGTACCCGTATGAATGGGACAACAAATGCAGGGAAAAATATGCTAGAGTTTACTTAGAAAACAAATACGGATGGTGTGCTAAATATAAATCTTCCTCGGAGTGGCTGCAAGTTGACCTTGGCGTTGCCTCAAGGGTATGTCTTTATAAAATTACTAATAATTATAACTCCATTTCAGACCAGACTACTAATTTGTCCATCGAGTGACAGATTTTCTTTCCTTTGACGTTTTCCTATTGAGGAGACCCAACAAATGTTGGCCTTGACAAATTAGAACAGTTTGGTGTGGATATTGTTATAAATTAAGTGATTCTTAAGAAATCAAACTGTCATCATAGCTTTTTATAAGATGCACAAGATGTCCTTAAAACACAAAAAAATTAAATGAATTCGAGAAATATTTCTTGTTGTTACGCCGCAAAAAATCAATATCATGATGTAGGGAAAGCATTGCTTGTCCAACATCTTCAAAAACCGTTAAAAAATCCTCGCCAAATGGATTGCCAGGAGATTTACTCTTGGCTTTACTACAAAGAAAAATTTGGTAACCAACCTCTTGTAAAACATTTCAATCAGACCAAAACTGTATCACATTTTCTGAAATCTGAGTCATTCCAAAAACAAAGGTATCAATGACGTCATAACGCAAACTAAAACGTACGTTTGTAGTTTCCGAATTTAAACCATTAAACTAACGATATTTTAAACTTTTCAACGGCATAATTGAATCAATCTATAACCTTTTTGTTAGGATATTCAATCTGTCAATTTAAGAATGCAAACCTTGAAAGCATCGATTATGACTTTGATTATCTAATTTTACGTCCAATTGAAGTTAATGTAATAGACCTTCTCAGAATAGCTTCACGAAATAGAGTAGATGTGAATTGTTTAACGTATATTTTGATACAGTTTCGTAGACATGGTGTCTAGAGAATGACTTTCAATTTCTTTGAAGATTTCACGATCAAGGGCCTTGTTTTACGGTCAGGTTACATGTTCATTAATCTATTTTGGCCAATGATTTAAAACGTTATTTTTTACAGATTTTACAGAATAGATATTCTGATTCCTTTTTCTAAAATAGTTAAGCTAATACAAAATATTTTCCTTGAACCGTATTAACATTTCGCTACATCTTTTTATCTATGTGTGAATCACTTTTTAAATGCGGATACTTTGTGAATCTTTGTTTGTTTCAAGTTTTAGATTTGTAAAGATCTGAAATACATGTTTTGAGATTTATCAACATTTAAACATTTAAATTCGTGAGAAGAAATAAATAAATTTCTTTATAAAAAGGGGAAAGAGAGAAAAAATTCCGAAATGTGCATGATACTTCATTTAAATTTTTTGACCATTTCACCTTTTTTGATGGTTTGAGGTTGAATCAGAATCGTACTGATAAATCTGTTCAATAAAACATCAACAATTTCTTTGCCAGAAAAGGTTCCCCTTTGGTAGTAAATTTATTTACAATGTCACGTTTACGAATTGTTTTCTTGCCAAAAGGGGATACATTTTGTTACGATAACATTCTTTAAAAACCAACCTAGAACGCTCTGATATGCAGGTATTCCCCCAAAAGAATGTTCGAAGTGTTTTGTAACACCATTCAAATTGATTGCACGTCTGAAATAAATTGTTAACAAGAATGTATTTGAATTTTGCAACCCATAAAACACCGTGTTTTTGAAACAAAGGTATTCCTGAATTGTGACTTCCTATTTGAAACAGACACATTTAGGAGTGCATGGAATTCCGTGCATTATCACATGAACAGTTTCTCGGAGGGAGAGCCAATGTGGTAAGAAATATCTTAAATGAAATAAGGCATTTAAAATTGCTTTTTGAATGCAGGAGAAAAACATAAAATAAGCTTATTCTTAATTAAAATTTAATCAAAATATTTTGAAAAGTTGAAACATGTTGCTTTAATTCAATAAAACTCAACTTACCTTTTACCTCAGAGAATTTTGTTTTTGTTCTCAGGCAATTCTGAATCTTTACCTCAGGCAAAATTCAAAATTCATTTGACTGTAAAAAATATGTTGAAGTTTAATGACATATGAACAATTGGTAGTTAAATTATTCCGATTGAGAAACATATAAACTATCATATAATGATTCCTTTAACAGGTGATGAAAGTTTTAAAGTAATTGTAAAGTAATTATAATCGGCAGACAGGGTCATATTTTTCAAGTATGTACAACCAGGTGAGATTCTAGTCTCACGCAGTAAAAATAAACACATATGAGAACCAATACCAATAAGGCTAGGCGACGTGCACAGAGCGCAGCCCCTGACACAATCCATCCACATCAGCATGCACCAAAACATGTTCATTGAATCATGCTCCCATTGAATCATGCTCGCATTGAATCATGCTCCCATTGAATCATGCTCATCATTGGTAGGACAGAATAAGAGCACAATACAAGAAAATAAAATCTTACAAATGACCGTGACGACAGGATGATCTTTATTAATTAATTTTTACAAACTTGGCAAAGAGATAGAATAGGTCACTGACTAATTAATGTATACGGTTATGAGTATTTAAACGACACAATAACGTTACATGGTTCATGACAAATCAAGAAAATAACTGGTTATTAGGGCGCCTTGTGTTCAAGAACGAATAGTGAATTTAACATCTAATTAAGTCCCCGGTCCATTTGACACATTATGATTTTGTTGGAGGAGAAAATGCTAAAAAGTTATTCAAGAAACTAACATTGATTATAATAGAAGTTAAACATTCAGCTATATAAACCTTAGGCGATATAGCTTTTAAGAGAAAAACGTGAGCATATTTATGATTTAGTTAGAAATACATGTTAGACAGTGTACTTACACGGCTCATTGAAAGAGTTAAGTTAAGCAATTATTTCACGGGTCGTTGAAGGATATAACAATCCGGATAGCTCATTCATTAATGTGACATAATTGATAGAAGGAGAGCAATTTTAAGATATTTTCTCCTAACCTTATGCAATGGGCTTGACCTGCATTCAAATTCTATTTAGATCAAAATATAAGAATGAAGCAGACGACAATTTTTGTCAGTCAAATATCACTGATTTGCAGACGACAAATGGCTTTTGTCAAATCTCAAAGATTAATACATTGGTTTGGCACTATACTATATAGTATATACATGTATAGACTGTCATTTTCGTCACAAGCTCTCAGCATTTATAAAGTGGAGGAGTTCAAAAGGTTAAGGAGGGAAAGGGGTATAATTTAATATGACACAACTGCCGCAAAACAATTAGCATACGACATTAGCGTTACGCAATTATTTAGTAAGGTACAAATAACATAGTGATACATTAGTAAGAAGGGATAATTGAGTATGTATATTAAGTATATCTTACCATGTCTTTTTGTCAGTGAAATAGTAAAAAAGCACAATTTTTTTTCTTTTTCATGACAACTAAAACCATTTTTTTCATGACAACTACAGACAATACCGGCGTTTCATAAGACAGGTTCTATGTACGTATCCAGCAACTCTTTACCCTTGAACAGCAGATCTGCCAAATACACATTTTGTGGCTTGTTAGAAATTAACTTACATCTTATATGCCAATGTTAGGTTTTCTTTTTATTACATCTTCATTCAAAACATTTTTTCTCTAAGATTTAAATAGTTTTAGGAGCTTTCTTGTTTCAAGTTTTCTTACTATTTCCAACTATTTCATTTGCTTAAAAGATGAAGTCTTGCATGCCATTACCTGACGCTTTCCTCACATGATAGTTTGATAAATTGCTCAAATAGCGAACGAGCCATTTCCATCTCGTAATTATTTCATTCACTTACCTTGGTGACATATTTAAAATGTCATACAATTTATCTCGTCTAAGTAAAAACCATCAGGCCTACTTCAAGACATTAACGTACTAAATTTAAGAAACTCAAGACTAAATTTAAGAAACACAAGCTAAAAGTTAAGTTGTAAAATTAAATGTGATGGCCAAGGATCCAATCTTAATCTTTTCAGAGAATAAAAAGAAGAGTCGTGGTTCGGGATGATATGTGCATTGAATATAGTGAAATAAGACACTTCATTAAATAGGCTAAAACAAGTGCAAAATGTTAAAACAATGGTTTTTGTTGACGGTGTATTTTGAAAACACCTAAATTGTGTTAAATGTTTGTCATTTACGTTGTTCGTATTGTCAAAACCACGAAATTAATGTAAAATTAATTTGTAATTTAGCATATTAGAAATGTCATATTTATTAATTTAATGCACGGTACGAGCATGTTTAAAATCATTATCAAATCATAAATTTGTGTCAGACATGCCGCCGTTACAAAAGTACGAAATGAACTTTAGAGTACTGTCTGAACATGGCCATATAAAATGTGTTTTAAGGACAGAAGTCAGACAATTTAGCTCGAGAAAAGATAATGACAAAGTTTGACTCTCAAAAGTACTATTAGCTGACAATCTGCAGTTTGAAAATAAATAAATAAATAAATATTTAACATAGGCCAACAACACGTGAGATTTTACAGTGTGCACGTCAGGAAATCAACTTTAGATTACGAGTTTATTCAGAATATCATTAACCAATGTTACCCAAAGTTATTCCCGAAATTAACCTCAGAACCCTCCGTGGTTTGTTGTTGAAAGTGTCACCCTCCGTAACCTTTTGCTCTCCTCTTGATTGTTGTTGCCGTTATCGGATTAAGTCATAAACTATTTAGATTATAAGAAAATTCATTGAAGTATATTAAGACCTTAATTAAAACCGCCCTTACTTAACTTAATCTATTGAGAAGAGGAGAATGAACGTTATTTTGGTCTAGTTTTCTAACACGATATAACCCAGATATAGGCTCTAAGATAGGTAGATACCTCCTGATGGTCTGCACAAAAGATTCTTAAACTTTTCCCATCATTAAGCCAACCTAATACCTCTTAATGACATAAAAATTCGTTTCAACCATACATCCCCATCAAATCTCTGAGTTCATCTATGTTCATCAGGGTTCTTCACTGTGAAATATATAAAAACACGTCTTTATGAACCGTTGCTTTAAGTAATTAATATCTGTTTGAATATATCTCGTAGATCGTTCTTCATAAATTAAATAACCTAGGTTATTCAAACGCTTGATGATTTCATAGCGAAAAAAATGTATATGTGTATATTTTAATCTGTATTTACTTCATTCGAGTTATGTTACAAAGAATACAGTTTGACGTTCGTTACACTAACATTTTTAAAACAAAAATTATAATTTGAGTTTTGTATATTGATATTGAAATCCCTAAATATTATAATGACTTTCAATAAAATTCAAATCATTTGTTAAGAATGGTATTCAAAACTACGTTTGTGACCACAGACCGGTTTGCTGTCTAAAATAGAATATTTATTAACATAACACGGCTTTGTAAATGTTAGTTAAAACTTGTTGTTTCTAAATGTAAACTAAATGTAAAGACACACAACAACACCTGACATTTTTGTTTTTATATAAGCCGCAACCTGCGATGAATAAGGACATTTTTGCAAGTACGTAACAGACTGTGATTATTTTTTTAAACAACAAGATTTCATAAATTGTAAAATTTTATTGTATATAAGATAGGTAAACGGCTGTGTCTAGTGACGCTTTTTTGTTTATACACCATTACATTGCCTATTTCCATCTTCTACATCAATGAGTTTAAAATGTACCTTTGGGCTAATTCTATTTCATGACATAAATCAGTTTACGAGTCATTAAAAAGACAATGTTTATTTAAACTTATGCTAAATCATTGTTACTTCGTGTTTTTTGTTCCCACCGTAACGTTATTTATACTGAATTAAAAAATGAAAATTAAAATTAGAATAAGGTAGCAAAGGCGTTCCATAAGTAAACATGCGAATATCCTTCTCATTTAGGAAAATATTCGCAAAATTTAAGCCACTTAATTGTTTTGGTCTGAAAGTTTTATATGTAAATAAGCTGATACACACGTTTCATCATGTTCAGCGTCTCTCTTTTCTTGCTAATTGTAAATCTTGTAAATGACATTGTTAACCACACGGCCAAACATTCATATCAAATACAATACCACTTTTATATGTATATAACTTATTACAGACGTTGTCGTAACGTTTTATTTTCGGTTCCGCTTTGACTCCGTTAACGCATGAATTCGATAATACGTTGACAGTGTTAAAAAGTAATAAAAATACCATGACATTGTCGGATATGAAAAATGATCATTATGAAAATGGTAATTGTCACTGAATACATTAAACCACTATCTTATACAATCTAAACCCATCTCACCACGAAAAGCCTATCTCTATATAATTAATTTTAGTTTACGCAAGTCATCAAAAATGACGTTTTCCTTATTAACATATATATTATTGAATTCTAAAGATGTTACACATAACTGTGAAAAGAATGTTTCTGGCCCTGTTTTAGTGTTTGGAGAAAGAACATGATAAAGAGAATGTTTTATAGATGATCAAATCAAGGATTCATAAAGAAGTTCTGACATAACCTAAACACGAGAAAATACAATGTGACCAAATAAATGCAAAGTAAACATGTTCATTGATGTTACGACGAATTCTAAAGAAACAGACACTATATACTGCCAATTTCATCACACAAATAAACAAAATATTTCAATAACTAAACATCGCTCTGACGTAGGAGCTCAGAAATGACTGCATAATCTGTAAAAGTGTTATTTTCTTCTTATTTTTTTGCCGTGTTCTGTGAACATCGCTTTGCCTCGTTGATTTTTGCTCCCATTTTAACAGCCTCGTTTTGACTCTTTGATTGTAATAGTTATTATTTCTTTTGCTAGGTAACGGGTGTTATGACACAAGGTCGAGCAGACGGCAACGAATGGGTGACGGCGTTCATGGTGTCATACAGTATGAACCGTTTTGATTGGTTCTATGTGAATGACCAATACGGCAATCAAAAGGTAATGACGTCATTACGTTCACCTTTACCAAACACTCGATTAGAGTTTTAAAATGTATTTTCATAATTTCACCTCAAAATACTTTTTGTGAACAGCCGCCTGTGTTTTGGACTTTGCTACTATTTTCTAAAAATACATCAAATTTTATTATAAGATTATAACAACACTATTCAAATGTACATTGGAATAAGGGACACTCTTTATACATTTCGTCTTGTTTTGTTACAGGTTTTTGAAGGTAACACAGATTCGTACTCTGTGAAGCACTCGTATCTGGACGAACCAATTGTTGCTAGATTCATTAAATTCCATACAGTGCAATGGAACAGACATCCTAGTATGAGAGTAGAAATATTAGGTTGCCAATGTGAGTTGTTTATTATATATTTTATAGTATGCCTTGTCTTTTTTAGAAAGAATATAAACTTATATAGAATGACTTTTGAATATGTCAATGACATTTCATGGTAATTTTTATGAATACCAAATGCTTGTTTATATATGTCTTCTTTAATGGTATTGTAAATCACTAGTGTATCAGAAAGAAAGATGTTTTAAAGAGAGAAACAAGTAAAAGTCTTTATAAATACCTACATAATAATCAATATCTGGAACAAAAGAACCCTCGGAAGCATAAAGAACAGCAAAATTACGTGAACATTTAACTTTCAGTGTGTAAGCAGCCACTAGGACTTCCTCCATACGGAAAGTTGACAGCATCATCTTACAAGAAGAGCGCCCAATCGTGTCAACCGGAAGACGGAACCATTCTCAGCCACAAAGGATGGTGTGCCAAGAAAAAGAAAAGTAACCTATTTAGTTATAATACTTTGTTATGATAAAATGTTGACGCCTAAAGAAGATACATTTCTTCAATTTTAACTTGAATATCATGACAAATCTTATGGCGTTTCGTTTGTATATCACTTATTTCATTTTCATAAGACATTGAAGTGAAACTGAAAAAAAAAAACATAATCCTCTGTATTTCACAATAATATATTGCAGCGGCTTTGAATATTGAAGGTTTAAAGAAATATTTGTTATTTTAAACTCATGTAGGGCAAATTTGAGACATTTCTTAAAAGAAGAATTTTAGCTAATTTATTACGCGCGGTAACGCGATTCTCATTGCTTATTCAAAGGTCGTCTCTTTAGATAAGGTGGTGACAAAATAAACATATTTAAAAGATAGTGAGGTATACAATGCCGAATTTTCATATTTTAACTCGCGATCTTAAGATTCTTTTATCCATCAGCAATTTTGATAGACAAACTTTTAAATTGATGTAGTGGCTGAGCAGTGTGATCCTTTGTACCGAATCACGTGGTTTGAATAGATAATATTAACCCTTTTGATATATATGTTTTGCCTGCTTACCAAGGCGGAACATTTTTCCACACAACTGAGCGCAAACTATGTTTGCAGTGGTTTTTATTTACTTTATAAACAACTTTACCGTTCAGGCATTTGTAAAGAGTATTTTGCTGCTTGTTTAGGAGTGCGGCAAGGCGGTGCGCTGCAGCTTTCACTATTTCTGTAGGCAATACATAATTATTTAATCATGACTTAGCTAAATCTAAAATCTGAAGGTTTTTTTAACTGTGTAACATTTTAATTTTTCGCCCAAGAACACTATTTGCTTAATTTTCTAATCAGACAAGAATTTGACATTTCCCTTAGCATATATGAAAGCAATATGTAGAAAACTATGAAATAGATATCTATTAAGTTTATCATTTTATCTGCATGACAATGGACAAAATGTCAAGAACATACTTTATAGCGCGCCAAAGCCAAAGATTTTCACGTGAGACAGTTAAGTGGCAAAGGTTTTTAACATTTATAAATGTTAAGTAACCGTAACCAAACAGAAGGGCATACAATATGGCTATATATTATAATTACAATTCAAACTTTAACAGGTAAAGAGTATCGTATTTCGGACAGAACCAATAAGTGTCTATGGTTTGGATATCAGTTAAATTATTACCAGCCGCGGGGAGGTCTTTTTTGTAAACAATGGGCGTGTGTTTTTAGAACCAGTGGACTGATTGATAATTAAAGACTACTGTATGCTATCTACTTTTCTTAAAGATTGTATCTTTTTAAAAAAAGAAGATATGATTTAAAATTTCAGACATGGCATGCTGTCAGCCTATCATGTATTCCCGTTTTATTGTAGATTCAAATCATTTGTATGTAATTAAGACATTCATTTTTTTGCTTGCAGACCGAAAACAATCAAATTGACAATTCGTTCGCGATAGTTTTCATTCTTTGATAGTCAACTAAGTATTTTCGAAGCGTTTGATCTTAAAATTACAAAAAATAATGTTTTTATATAAAAGGAAAAGCATAGAAAAGGATACGTCATACTTATAACGAACAGTTGTTAATGTTACTGTAATATCTCTTTATGTTAATTTTTCAAATATTTTCACAACATTTATGTCACCTTCAGGGGTCTATTCATTATCTATTTCAAACTTGTTGTCAACAAGCTTTCACTCTTTGTCATAGCAATATATTGTAATATGTAGTTTACTTCCCATGTTTAAATATAAACTTCAGAAGCAATTTTAAGTGGAATGCATATACGATTTACATCGAAAATCACATTAAATTGCCACCTTGCCATGTTATTCAAATGTAACATTAATAAAATTATATTTCAGATGCTCTCCAAGAAAATGTATGTCAAGTCATGCAGTAAGGTTTAGCTACAAAAAACCTAAAATGATAACAAAGTCCCAGAGTACTATATTTTTGTATAAAAACCACATAATATAAAAAAGTAAATGGGCAATACTTAATCATGGCAATTATAACTAAAATATGAACTCACTTTACTTTCAGATGCCCAATGGCTGCAAATTGATATTGGTCCACCGACTTTGGTGACAGCTGTCATTACTAAAGGCCGAGGTGACTCTAAGAGGAGTCACTGGGTTAAAAGATTCATGCTTTCATACAGTAATGACAGCTCTGTTTGGTACAAATACAAAGATGCCCACCATCTTGATCCAAAGGTAGGTGCCCTGCACAACATGGCATCAAGGCTCTGCTATATTAGATACAAGATCTTTTTATAGAATGAAAAATCAAATCAAATCTATTTGTAGAAACAGTTGAAACACTTGCTTTTTACAAATCAAACAATTGAAAGAAAGCCAAGTGCATTTCTAGTTTTGGTTTCAAATGCTTGTCTCGAATTCGATTTTTAAAAAATCGGCAAGATATATTTGTAGAACTATCAGCAAAATATACAATCAGATTGTTGAAACCTTTGAAAATAAAATAAAATGTAAATGCATGTTATTACCAGGTGTAGTTAAACAAAAGAACGCATATTGCACTCATTTTTCGAACTTTTTATCAACTTCGCCTAAGCTTTGCCTTCAAGGAAATGTCTGTAGTGAAATCTATTTTAGCTTAATTGACATATCTAATGAAGTATTAATTTACTGTTGACCATGGGCTATACTGTTTTATTATCATACTTATATATATAGATGATAAAAGTATAAAAAGTTCACTGCTGTAGTTTAAGCGAAGCACCGAGTAGGTCAAATCATAGACCACTCAACAACAAAGCTTTATGTCGACTCCAGTACAATGGCGACACATACAATCCAACTACGCAATGGCCATAACAAATCTGCTTTGATATCCGTAATACTGTTTAATAATTAAGTCAAATGTATGCAACCTGATTGTTCTATACTCAAAGTAAACACTTTGCCATTCTCTTTTGAAGAGTAACTCTATTGTGATATGCAATAACACATACACATTATTTAGATATTTGCTTTAACGCAAAATTTGCTCCTGAGAGCAATCACTGTAATTCAATTGGTATGTTAAAGTAAGTAAACATTTGCGCAGATGATATATTTGTACATTTACGGGAACGCATCAGGTTGCATTAATTTATCATGTTTAACAATAGCTTAAGCTAAAATACTTACATATAAATAAGTAACTTTGTACTCGGCGTGATATAAAGTTGTATAACTTGATATTTAACCGTGTGATATTAATACAATGTTTTATTTGCAGAGTTTTGAGTGAATCGCTTTTGCAATGCCCTTGCCAAAATACGACGCAGTATAGGTGGCCAAATAAATGTTGTATTAAAAACAAACAAAACTCCCCCTCCCTGTTTAATGCTCATTTGATCAATGTTGTCAAATACCCCCTAAAATAATGTTACTACTTACTATGTACATGTATATACATATATATGTTAAATGTATCATTGAAACATACTGTATAAATGGAATCATTATTCGTTGTAACCAAAAGGTGTTGTGTACTAACATTACCCTGGAACTTCCCTATGTATGCAGAGTTTACTTGCCACCATAAGGAATATCAAAATGCTTAAAATAGTTTCAACGCTACCTTTAACTACTTAAATAAAGCGCAAGCAGATTTTGAGTTATTTAAAAGGAATCCAAAATCATGCTTTAACAATGTTAGAGTGTTGTTTGCCTGTTCACTTTTGTGGTTGTGGGTTTTCACGTGATTTTGTGGTGGTAAAACATTTTGTTTCGTTCCGTTATTTTGTGTATGTTTATTTCTGATTTTGTTCTTTTGGTTTAAAAAAAGCCCAACATATTTTTAGAAAACGCAGCAAAAGCAAAATTGTATCAATTTGTAAGTTATGATAGCAAAAATCACCACAAAATAGTCCTCTGGGTTTGCAATGAGGTTGAAAGGTGCAAATAGAATCGCTGCATGATTGCTGTCTCCCTCTTTGGTGCTTTCGCAGCACCTTTTGATGCAATGTCTGTCACATAAATGACACACTTTCTTTGGAATAAAGGGATCTCTCTTATGCCTGATGAATCTTGATGTATTTCTAGAACGAGTGGTTATGGACACCGACGTATAATGCGTCTACATCACAATTAATTCCCGACCAGTACACGGATGAGGGCCTGGTAAGACTAACGCATTGATGGGTGCGGTATATATTCATTTTTTCTTCACAGTTCTTACGTCTAGTGCCACAAAAAATCACCACTTTCATCATCGTCAAATGTAACGTTAAGAAAGAAAAGTACTTCAATAATCCAAAAGCAAACAATCTGTATATAATCTCTTTAGTTTGTTTTTGGATTAAAACGTTGCATAATAGTACGAAATGGAAGTTGGTTGTAAATAATCACTTTAGATCATGTTACTTTTATTATCTCAACAATTTAAAACAAAATATCAAACGCAAAACAAAGATATATAGAATGTACACACTTTCTTTGAAATTATTTTGAGCATGAAACAAACCGAAACTTCTGATACTCTTTCATGTATAGAACCTTCACGTTAGATGTGAGAAAGAAATCTAGTAAACAGTTCAAAGGGAACAAAGAAACATGGCGAGTGGTTATTTAGTACACTGGCACTTTTCTCTTCCTTTCTTTCTGCTTTGTTGACCAGTGAAAAAAAAGACAAAGAAAGGGAAATAGGTAAATGTGAAAGATAAGTTATGAGAATGACTAAATAATTATCATTTTTATTTATTTCGGCATAACACATCTGGTCAACAGAACAAAGAGGGAGGTTTACATTCATTTTCAACTGGCTTCGTTGGCAGTTAGATATTCAGTGCGAAGGGTCGGAATAGTAAAACAAAATTTCAGGGCTACAATAAAGTAATAATTAAACAAGAATTAAATTTGATTCTCCAACATTTCTCCTACAATGAAAAGTATAAATCACACAAGATTTTCATGAGCGGGAACAGAAAATGTTTAAGTATAATTGTAATATACTTTTAAATATTCTTTTTTTTACATATAATGCAATCTGTTTTTAACAATGGTTAAAGATTTCCAAGATCTGCAGAAATTTTAGTTAACTTCTACATTTTGTTTAGATCGAATATGAATGAGTTTATAAAACACGCATCATTTTCTTGCCTTTTATCATTGACATTTCGTACAGTTGCTTCAAATCTTGCTGTTTATATGGGTTTTAGCTATATTTATTTTTAAATTTTCCCTTTTTGAGATTGTTTTCTGATACTGTTCTGCATTTGTTTTTTAATCTTTATACTTTACTGCATATGTTTCTTTCTTTACTTCCTTTTTTGTTTCATATTTTGCATTTCTCAAAACTTGTAGATGGGCCGATTTTATTAGATAAAGGAAAGAAACACCATTGAATATCAGTAAAAAGGAATGTTTCATTACAAATATTTAAAAATGATTCGAAAAAAGATCAAGAAAAATATAAACACATTGAATTAACAGAGTGTCAAGACAGTTTATGGGATTCAGATTCTTTGAGCTTTCAGTCAATATAGCATAAAAGTTTAAACTAGTTGGTTGGAGAGTCAACAGGCAAGGTTTTAGGTATAACATTTCCAAGATATAACTTAGAAAAACGTGGTTTAGTGCTTTGGGGATAGCTTTTTTAGATTTTCTTTGAGATATTTATTTAGAACCCCGCTTTGGAAATTGGTTATTTTAATATATATTTGACTATTGAAGTAAATATGTTTTCGTTTTTTTGGCTATATACAGCACGGACCTTGATAATGTAAAATAATCAATCATTTTTACAGGTAAACTGTTGAATTTAAGTGATGTTTCTAGATTGTTATGTTCCACGCTACAGTTCATTTTGCATTTATAAGATATAAAAATGACATTCGCTCTGAATATTTTAACATGCTCGTTTTCAATATGAGACTGATTATAAATGCATGCAAAGATAAATCTTCACGCACCTACAGCTTGTACTAATATACTAAAAATTAAGTGATATGAATGATAAAGATAATTTGAAGAAGAAGAAGAAAGACATAAAAAAGTCTATCCCAGATTATGGATCTATGCCAGCGTTGAAATAGAGCGGAAATTGCTCAGACAAAAGTTAACGATTTTATAATGTTTGGTACAAAATATACAACAAAGAGACCATAATGAAATAATTAATGTCATTCAGTCTACCGAATCGTCAGTACCTCTCTTTCTTCAGCACTATTTTCACTATATTCGGCTCGAGAAATCAAAATCCAAAAATAGCAAGTGTTTTAGAGGAGAGGTAATGGTAATTCTACACTATTTGCATGTAGCATGTAGCACGCGCATGACTAATGCCTAGATATTATTAACAGTCGCATGTACCCTTTAACATTTTTCTACTACTTTTTAACGTCATGCTAACAGCTTATTCAAAAAATGCACAAACACGAAAAAAATGGAAGAAAGACTTGTACTCTATCTACAAGTCCTTTTCACTCACGCCAACTTTATAACAATTGCCTCGAGTTAATAATAAACGCATGGCGTAGGTTTTTAGGCCATCACACTGCGCACATATACCCCGATAGATTTTCACGGAAAGTTCACAGCACACTTTATAAGACTGAAAGAGCCATGTTCAAATATCTTTACCATACTTGTTGTAGATTTTTGGCGGGAACAGTGATAAGGACACGGAAAGGATCCACTATCTAAACGCACCGTTTGTGGCAAGGTTTATTAGATTCTACCCGATAGAGTGGAATAAGAAAATTGCCATGAGAGTTGGGCTCCTTGGATGTCCGTTTAAAGGTAAGTCATAATGTAGTTATTATGCTTCAAACAATCTTTAACACAGAAGGTGCCAAGCGCCATGTTGTAGCTGTCAAGTGTTGCCCAATACATCACTTCAGTTGTATTTTCCTAGTAATCAGTATGTATTGTTTTTAGCTCACCTGTCACAAAGTGACAGGGTGAGCTTTTGTGATCGCTTTTCGTCCGGCGTCCGTCCGTCGTCCGTCCGTCCGTAAACTTTTACTTTAAATGACATCTCCTCATAAAGCCAATTTCATCCAAACTTCACAGGAATGTTCCTTTGGTGGTCACCTTTAAAAATTGTTCAAAGAATTTAATTCCATGCAAAACTCTGGTTGCCATGGCAACCGAAAGAAATTTTTTTAAATATCTTCTTTTAAAAAACCATAAGAGCTAGAGCTTAGATATTTGGCATGAAACATCATCTAGTGAGTGTCTACCAAGTTTGTTCAAATAAAAGCCCTGGGGTCAAAATTGGCCCCGCCCCGGGGGGGTCATTGATTTTCCCTATATGCATATAGTAAAAACTTAAAAAATCTTCTTTTAAAGAACCCAAAGAGCTAGAGCTAAGATATTTAGCATGAAACATGTTCTAATTGGTGTCTACCAAGTTTGTTCAAATAAAAGCCCTGGGGTCAAAATTGGCCCCGCCCCGGGGGTCATTGATTTTCCCTATATGCATATAGTAAAAACTTAAAAAAACCTTCTTTTAAAGAACTCAAAGAGCTAGAGCTTAGATATTTGGCATGAAACATCTTTTAGTGAGTGTCTACCAAGTTTGTTCAAATAAAAGCCCTTTGGTCAAAATTGGCCCCGCCCCGGGGGTCATTGATTTTCCCTATATGCATATAGTAAAAACTTAAAAAATCTTCTTTTAAAGAACCCAAAAGAGCTAGAGCTAAGATATTTAGCATGAAACATGTTCTAATGGATGTCTACCAAGTTTGTTCAAATAAAAGCCTTGGGGTGAAAATTGGCCCCGCCCCGGGGGTCATTGATTTTCCCTATATGCATATAGTAAAAACTTAAAAATCTTCTTTTAAAGGACTCAAACAGCTAGAGCTTAGATATTTGGCATGAAACATCTTCTAGTGTGTGTCTACCAAGTTTGTTCAAATAAAAGCCCTGGGGTCAAAATTGGCCCCGCCCCGGGGGTCATTGATTTTCCCTATATGCATATAGTAAAAACTTGAAAAAATCTTCTTTTAAAGAACCCAAAGAGCTAGAGCTAAGATATTTAGCATGAAACATCTTCTAATGGGTGTCTACCAAGTTTGTTCAAATAAAAGCCCTGGGGTGAAAATTGGCCCCGCCCCGGGGGGTCATTGATTTTCCCTATATGCATATAGTAAAAACTTAAAAAACCTTCTTTTAAAGAACTCAAAGAGCTATGGCTAAGATATTGAAGCATCAAACATGTTTCTAATAGGTGTCTACCAAGTTTGTTCAAATACAAGCCCAGGGGTGAAAATTGGCCCCGCCCGGGGTCATTGATTTTCTTTATATGTGTTTAGCAAAAACTTTAAATCTTCTTTGAAAAAACCCAAATAGCTAGAGTTTAGATATTAAGCATGAAACATCTTCTAGTAAAGTGTCTACAAAGTTTGTTCAAATAAAAGCCCTGGGTCAAAACTGGCCCGGCCCCAGGGGTGTCATTGTTTTTAACTATATGTGTATAGTAAAAACTAAAAAAAATCTTCTTTTAAAAAGCCCAATGAGCTAGAACTTAAATGTTTAGCATGAAACATCTTCTTATGGGTGTCTACCAAGTTTGTGCAAATAAAAGCCCTTGGGTTAAATTGGCTCTGCAACGTTGGGGGAGTGGGGGTTGGGGGGGCCTATATACAGGTGAGCGACCTCAGGGCCATCATGGCCCTCTTGTTTACTATATGTGTAAAGAAAAAACTCAACGAGCTAGACCTTAGATGTTTAGCATGAAACATCTTCTAATGGGTGTTCACCATGTTTGTTCAAATAAAAGCCCTGGAGTTTTAAACTGACCCCGCTCTGGGGGCCTATATACAGGTGAGCGACTTCAGGGCCATCATGGCCCTCTTGTTGTTGCTTCCGAGCGATATCCCCTTTTCCAGAGTTTTGGACAGCGATTCCTTGTGGTTCTCAATACCGTAGTTGTAATACAAAAGAATAACTGCACAAGATCAAAATGCGTTTTGCGTTCATTTAAAGTTTTTTTTTGATAATGTAATCTGTTTAAAAAAGAACCATTGTTTTTTTGGGAGGCAAAACCGTAAGTCCATTTAAGTAACCTACCATGTTTTTTCTGCTTTTTGTCTATAAGGCAAAAACATTTTGCATATCCGCTTGATATATCCTATACATTAAAGATAACTTAGCTCATACAAACATTTTTATAAAAAAAGTTTCTTGAGATTGCATTGTTAAGTAATAATGAGTCAGAAATAAAGTTTAAAAAAAAAACGGACAAAAATTGCTCTGATTAAGATACCATAGTGACAGAATAGATGTAGACAATTTAAACATGACATGTTAACCTACTCAATGATTCTTTAAACATAAACGATTTCACTGATGCACGGACTGCTACCTAAAATGTACAAAAAAAAAGAAATTATTTTTCTTTACCAAAGGCTAAATCAAGTTCGTCTGGGAATAATTAGAAATAAATAAAAATAGTGTTATTTTGTTACTCTGTCGGTAGTTTATGAAAAAATGCAGCGCTTTCAGCTATTATCAGCCATTGCTATTGAATACTGCAAACTGTATAGGCCTAAGACGGTGGTAGGGGGCGAGATTTCGCAATACTAACCATTGCCTGATAATAATGATCAACGAAACTTTACCCTGTTAAGTACTAAAACGTAAAGTGTTATAATTAAGAACCCACTATTCTTATCGATATGAACGTTAACAATGCTTTAAATAATAAACTGTAATCTACATTCCATGCTAAGTAAATTGTGATTGTTTTGTGTGCAATCATGTGACCATTTAACAAATTGGTACATTATTGAAACGCAAAATATAAGATATTAATCGCTATTTATTATGATTGGATAATAAAAATTTGAAAAGAAAAAAAACTGTTTGTGTAGTCTTTATTACAAACAACTTCATTACTTTACCTATCATGTTTTAATTTAATGTAAATGAAAAACAATATTCTTATAAAATCAATCTGTTCTTACCTTTTAAACACCTTTGCAATCTGTGTTAATGATTACGTACACACGTCATAAGAAATAGATGGTAATTAAACTGTTATGTTTGATGAACAATGAAATGCTACACCTAATTAAAATATTCATTAATACCATATGGAAAATTTCAAGTATGAAAAAAGAATCAATTCTAAATGCCGAAGCAACACCTCATTATACTTTGATGAATGCTATGAGAATTTTCGTTTTTAATAAATATTGTTTGGTGTTTTATCTGATACAAAAAATAAATAAAACAATATATAAAAAATGAAAAAAAAAAAAATAAATAAAAAGATAGTTTAGAACAGACAAATTATCATATCAAAGGTTGTCTGACAGCGTCCTAAGTAAAAGTTATAAACAGAAGTGTTATACTTCATAAAATCTATAAAATATGATGACTGGGGTAGGGAAAATTTTATATGTTATTGTATAGTGATTGAAAATTGTTCATACAGATGAAAAGTTTGCAAATCATTACTGATTTCGTATGAATTATGAAATAATTACAGTAAAGTGCACATTAAAATGATTTAATTGTATAAAGTATGCTGTCTCATTCAGTAAAAGCGATGCTCTACCTAAAAATCAGAAATAAATTATGTTAATGCTAGTTTGCTTTCGTCATTAACTTAAATAAAGTACACACTCAAACATTGAAACATAAATATTTTTGTTTATTTAAGTATTCTTGAAAACAGAAGAATGAGACGATAATCCCTTATTTCCATTCTAGAATTTTATGTAAGGCATTCAACATTGCATTCCGTTGAGGAAAAAGTTCAATATTATACTGCTATTGTAACTAGTATATATTCTTTATGTTTCTCTAAGAAAGAATATATATATTGCGTGCGGATAATTTGTGTTACCTTTGAACATGTGCTTCTTGTGCCAAACTATTCGAATAAACTATGTTTGCAGTCAAGAAAAAATGTACTAACATCATCGATAGATCTGTGTTAAATATAACCCACCTTTACCAATCAGCACCCTTCTTGACATTTTCTATCAGTGATGATGCTTGCAACATGAACTGTTTTTTTATTAATTTACGAGCTACACTGTCAAACATTATAGTATATTATGATATTCATAATTTGTTATACGGAAATGTATTCACACATTTGCTAGTTTTACGTTGAAATAAAATTCGGACGTTTTGTTTTAAAAGCCATAAATAAACCTTTATTTTGACAGTTTGTGATACGCCCTCTTGAAATTTCAAATATAATGATTAAGCAAGTCCTTTTGCATGAAAATAAGTTCATATTTGTTCGGAAAGAACAGTGAAGAAATACAATAATTTATTTGTAGAAGGACCCTCGTCTGTACTTTATCCTGTCTGGAAATAGCGATTTTGGTTTTTCTGTGTGATTATAAACTAAGTTTTCTATATGGTCTGACAGTGATCACATTGCGGTTCTATCACAGTTCTTGATATTTTGAGCCTTCCTTCACAATTTTACTAGATAACAATTAAATGACAATCATAAGATGAATCCAGATGACAAAACAATAAAAAGTGTATCAGAAGAACTTCGTATTTATCATTATTCACTTTTTCAGTAGCACTTAATTACAAATTTCTTGAAACGAAAGATACCTTGTTGGGAGTATATTTTTATCAAATACCCATTACCAAGTTAAAATCAAATATCAGAAAAAACACTGTGTAAAAAAACATATTCGGTAAAATGAAAACCCGTATATTATACAACAAAAGAATTTTTGTTCTCTCTTACATCTGTAACTTATAATGTATGTACAAATTAATGGAATGTAAAGCGATTTTAAAACTAATAATAAAAGAAGAGCTATGCACTTACTTTGATGATTTTACAAACAAAAAACATATGAATTATCTTTCAACGTAAAGGAAATGAACAAATTACTTAATCAAAAATTTATTTATAGATCCTTTAAAATCATCTACACCTGTTATATACAATAAATGTTTTAGTTCGACGATCAAACTTCATAATTTTAATAATATTTTATGAGAAAATTATGTATACTCAAAACGAACACTGAGTAGGAGCTGAAATTTGTGGGAATATTTGCTTATTAAAATTCATATCAAGTAACTTGTGACCTTTGAACCGTTTAAAGTTCAACATTATATAAAATAATATTATCTTTCAAAGGCAAAGTTTCTGATTTCCAGTCAATACTATGAGCAGATATTAGACCCACGTATTTCTGATGCATTTTGCTAAATAAAAATAAGTATTTTTGAAAAACGAATTGAGCGAAAAATATCAGATATACGTTTATTCTATAGATCTACATGAAATGGTAATACATGTACTAGCATATTCTCGCAAAATATTTCCAGTCCCGTCCTATCAAAAAAACCTCAATGAATAAATCAACTTTAGAATTTTGATTGTACGATTGCTTTTATGGATTTATACTATTTATGACATATCAGACGCTTTAGAGTCAATACCTTTAACACTATAATGTTTTAAGATGTATTTCCTTTTTAGTATTACATTAAACTTTTTAACTTTTGACCTTCAAACAGAAGTCTTTGATGCTTGAAGTTTTAAATTTTGTCAACAAGTTTAGTAAAATCAGGTTTTTCACCTGTCAAATTGAGAAGATTGATTTTAGTAATAGCCCGTTCCGATTTCAAATAAAGACATAGTTAAATAAAAGTTGTTTACAGTTCTTTATTATAACATTCCTGGCCACGTGCTGATTTTGTCACACATATACCGATATCTGGTCTATAAAATCTTTATTCTAAAACCCCACCAGATGCTGTGGATAATTATATGGGAAATTGGCTCCTGTTAAAGTTGCTATTCTATCCTCTTTAAAATTCGCCAACTCATCCTTCTCGGGAATGATATGTAAAATGTAATAGTCACACCAAAGTGTGATGAAGTAAAAAAAGACTTAAATACCATTTATATATCTTGTTTAAACCTAAAATGAATTTATAACCAAATGCTAACGTTTAGGGAAATCCTAAGTAACAAAGGCACTGATATGTGACGGTAAAATTGCAAGCGTCTCTGTTGAAGATCTCATATTTCAAATAAAAAACGTGCCAAGTGCTACCAAATATCCCATTGTTGTATTTTCGTAAATCGAGGTTGCTATGCACAATTGTATTATCTGAATGATTTGAAAAAATCAACAACAAGTTTTACCCTTTTAATTTAAAGTACTTCTTTTCAAAATATTCTTTCTCTTTCAGTAAAGTTTGTAAACATGTTTACCTAGTCTATTTTGATCACATTTTATTATTTGTATATCTGTATTGAAGGTCAGTCTTTTTGCCTTGGGTACTCTCTTTTAAAATACTTTATTAGTAATATGATATATCAAGCTTCATACATCACCAACATCTAGTATTTTTTTACCTTTGGTGTATAGATACATCAACATCTTACCGGTGTAAGATAAAAAGGGGTGTCCTACAGACCATGGATAAGGTCATTACACAATTTTATAAAAAAAAAACGCAACAAAACATGCTTATGACGATGAATTTACAATGAGTCACTGTGACCTTTGACCCATTGATCTAAAAAAAACCTAAAAGATAACATTTTTATGCCAAGTACACTGTCCGTACCAAAGTTAACAGCGTAGATTTATTCCATTTTATGTGATTGACATGACAAGGATTGCACACATGATGTTACTTTATCATGACCTTTGACTTCATGACCTCAACATCTATAAGATAAGAGTTTTTTTTATAGATATGGACCAGATAGCTTATAATGGTCAAGGTGATGATGCTCTTTGAGCTACGGATATAAAAATCAAAACTGGTCATCTTTTTTCAAATGGGGACATAATAAAACGGGATTTGACTATTTTATTCACCTTTATACGAACTCTTTGACTAAAACTGCTTTTTTTACACTTATAACGACTAAGCAAACATGTTGAAGCGGTGTTTAGTTTATAGAAATTGTAACGATGTTCTTTTCCGGGACATCTTACCAATAGCAAATCTCTCTTAATTGACCATAAGTTCAGAAATAGTATAATGTATTTCAGGAAAGTGCCCAGATGGATTTATGCGGGTTAACGAAGATTCTCCGTGTGGTACGTTGACACTTTTTTATTTCTTAATTCAAATGATAAAATTATAGATGTAATATTTAAAGTTTTGTTTTTGCTTGTACAATAAGTAAACATATTTTTGTAGAAATCAATTACCTGTGCTAGAGAGCGTTAGCTTTGTTGCATTTTCAACACCATGAGTCTTGAGTCTGTAATCTCATAGATTACTTTCGATAATAGATGATTTATATTAACTCATTAACTGTCACAGATTCCTTTGTTTCATTGAGGTATAATTGTTCTCGAGATTTCAGAATTCATAACAAATAGACTTAATCCGGAATTAAGGATATATTTGTTTTTTTCCCAGCTGATCCGGGGGTACAAACACAATTTTACAGTAACAACGTCGACAAAAAGCGCGCTGATTTATCTATTTCGAACGGTAGTGAGTGAACCGTATAGCCATAACAGAAAAAAATGTGTTTACCCCACAACCCTTGCTAACCCCAAGCACAATGTTGAAGTAGCACAATTATTTTAAAGTCCTTTTGTTTTTCAGTTGAGAACCTGGCATACAAGAAACGAGCTCAAATCAGTTCCAGTTCACGTCACAACAAGAGACATATCAGCACAAAGGTTGTATCACAGGAACGAGCCTCCCAGGCGGTAGACGGGCGTCTCGAACAAGGTTTAAGATTCTGTACAATCCTAGATAATTTATATGGTGATGTTTTTACCATTGACCTTGGCAGGCAACAGAATGTGAATGGGGTTCTTATTTACACATGGCAAGGTGAAGGTGAAGGTAAGTTTTTATAGATCCAGTTGTTAAAATGTTTGAATTCTTCTATAAATATTTTGACACGTTATAATTTATGACAGATGATAAATTCAAACCACTTTAACATTTTATACCTCTTGTACCATCCTTTTGATATAGATTTACAAACAAGTTTTCATTGTAAGTGAAATTGCAAGACTATACCCTTTGTTCATTTGTTTCATACTGGAAGTGTCCGTAACTGTTTTGTTTTACTCCTATTGATCTGAATGTATTTAATTTTTTTTGCAGATGGTGTAAGTGCGTACAAAGATTATATGAATAATCTAGATAAATTGCTCGTTTACGTTGATGATACGGGTGGCAAAGATAAAAAGAAAGACCCGGACTCCACACCCCAATTGTGCGCTCATATTTCAAGACGGAACGAAGCTTTGTTTAGGCCGGTTCTTCATTTCCCTTGCATGAGGGCATTGAAGGGACAGAAAGTTTTAATAGAAGCTTGGAATGTTCTTAACGGATGGAATAGAATTTTCAGTGCCGTTTTATGCGAAGTACAAATCTATGGGTAATTTGTCGAAGAAAAAAAAGTAAAAAAAGAAAAAGTGCATCTATCATTGACTGAAAACAAACAGACCTCGGTTGTATTGTATAGATTATTCAACTGTGATTCTTATTTAATTGAACAAATATTATAATGACTTCTGCGTTCATGTATAAATGTATACAATACTGTTTGCATGACGTTCGTGTTTGTTTTTCAAGACATATACGTAGGGTACCAAAGTAAAAATAATGACAGGGTAATAGAATTTTTAGGGGAAACTATCCATAGATGAGGAACCAGATAAAATAAGAGAAGACTTCTTAAAAGGACTTGAAAATGTGTTCAGAGTAGCAAGGACAACTATAAATGAAAAGTGGCTACTCGAAGGAACAATTAGAATGTAAATAACAAGTTAATATAAGGCCAGCAAAACAGTGTTAAGTTTTTACACTTGTGTTTATGTATTTCAAACACGATATTATCATTTCGATTTAATGTTTACAAACTTTACCATGTAACCTCGTGCTGAGGTTATTAAGTTGTAAACAAGTTGCAGACGATATATATATGCAACACGTGACAGCCTTTGCTGTAACTGTACAGATGTGTGTGCTAGGAACGTTCAAATATGATTATAAACTCTATGTTAGAGAAAAAGAAGTCCATTTGAATAATCTAGCAAATATATTAATATGAGATGAAGTATAAACGTTGTGATGTTTGGGCATTTTCATTACCCAAAATGCCAGTATTTTGTCATAAATACTACACATTAGCATAAAAAAGATTATGTAAGAGAACTCAAAGGCAAGAGTTCATGTGTTTGTGATTTATTTCAAATTTTCGTGTTATGCCAAAGTTGTGCAGGAGAATAACATAGACTATAGGACAATGTTTATAATAGTAGACTTTTATATAAACTTTCACCTGTTTGTTTTTATACATAGAGATTAGCATGCTCCGTATGAAATTGAATATTAATTAGTATATAAGTGAAAAACTGGTTTTTATTCTAATCCTACAATGAATAGGTCACATGTTAATTAAGTATGCAAATTGGTTATTGTTGACAGTAGATTAATATATATAAAATCATACACATGTCAATTGTGTTTGCTGGGTAAGGAGTTGAATTGTTTAAAATATATTACAATTCACATGTTGTGTACAGGTTATTTACAAATGTACATCTATCTTAAAAAGTTAATATTTTGTAAGTGTATTACTAAATTAATTACATGGTCAGTAAAAACGCGATGAAAAACGAACTTGCTTTCACTATTGTGTAAATGTCAGGTCTTAATTTGGCATGTCTTAACGTCAAAATAACAAGCGTTTTAAAATTAAGATAAACTTAGATAAAAGTGCATATAACATGTGATTGTACCTTTTCGCAATCTTTCTCAAATTTCGTCTTGGGTATATTTTTTTCATTGTTACAGATCATTTCTTTCTGACAAGTTCAAGACATGTTTAAAGTAACAAATGACTCTTTCAAATTGTATACAGACACATGTCAAAATCATGTTCAGATCAGATACAAAAACAAACATTTGACTTGTCTATCTAAAACCAAGAATCTATTTTAAACAAAGCGTTTTACGACAAAACATAGTATATATATTTTGTTAATTGTTTGAAAAACGTTAGTGTTATTTTTCTATGGTTTATCCAGTTTCATTTATTTCACAGACAACGTATTATAAAAGGTAAAATTCGATACAATTGTAGGACGATTTTGCTTTGTAGAAACTACCCCTGCCCCTGTAACATCATGGTTAATCCCCCGGAATCTCTGAATCATGTTAAAACATATCGAATCTCATCTTCATCACTTGTTTTGTATATTCAATCATTTTAAGCCTCTCAGGATTTCGAGTATTTTTTTCAGAACAAAATAAGTGTTATAACTAAAATGGAACAAAAATCATGTTAGAAACATCAATGTTTTAAGAAATAGCTATAAGCTCTTTAAAGTTAAGAACTTTAAATTTGACGTTATTGAATTTTGTTTCTGTATAATAATGCTTTAATGCAAATCAGTTTCTGGTTTTCAAAATAAAAGAGCATTTTAAATTTTCTTTCTTGTATTTATATATTTTTGAACAAAGAAATTTCATTTTATCACGTGGTTCTTACACGTTTTGAAAATATCATATTTTTCTCATTACCCATTCCATTTTAGGTGTACATATAGCATCCATGACATAAATCGATAATGTACTGGATATTATACACACATATACATGTTTTCCCGCGTAAAGTTTTTTCATCAAGTCGCCAGCGCTGCTATATCATTAGGGAAAACATTCAAAATTGTCTGCTTTATTTTAGTAAATGTTAGGACGAGTTTCTGCTCTTTTTCTTTCAGAAATGATTTCTGTTTTTTAGAATTTGACAACTTTTCTTTGAAAGTAATCTTTAGTTCTGTATTTGTTTAAAGCTTAGTAATCTTTGTTCTAAGTCTTGTCGATATTTTACAATTGTTTTATTAATTGACATGTAACTTTTACCTATTTTAGATAACTGTGTTCAGTGTCAACACGTCACTTGAATACCTCTTCTATCATTTCATGAAACCATCTTTTTATTCTTATTATTTTAAGAAGACACTTCGACGTCAAACGCTTGCAGGCTGCTTTGCAAAGACAAACATATTTTATAATTTGTTACATTGCTCCATTTATTTAGTTTGTCTTAAGTCAATCTATGTTGTTTTCAGAGTCAATTCTTATATATTTTGGACCTTTGTTCGGAAACATTTTTTTTGTTCCACCGATTTCCAAAGTAAAGAGATGATTTAATATTCTTTATCTAACAATATCATTTAAAATATGATCTCAACTGAACAAAAAAATATAACAACGCTAAAAAAATAAAATGTCTGAAAATATTTATTTAGTCCTGTAAGGATTTCGCCAGAATTCATTATTGGGCAGAATTCGTTATTTGGAAGACAAAGCAGACAATTTAACTTTTAAGCACTATTTTTTCCCTTCTGCCAAAATTTGTACAATGACGTTTATGACAACTTCATAGTTACCCCGGATAATTATAGTGCTTTAGAAATGTAAAACGTAGCAAGTTTTACTAGAGCAAATGACTTTGAATATTATGTTGTCTTTAAATTAATAAATGTGTGTTGTTCGATTTAAGTTCTTTTTCATATTTTGTATATACTGTTATATTTGTGTACAATACGTTACCGTAAAAATAAATTATAAACACGTTTATGTATTAATGCTTTTGTATTTTATACTTTTACATACACGTATGATATTTCAAGGTAATGTGGCGATGACCGTGTGATAAAGATGTCCGTTTCTCAAGCCATTAGTTTTAACTGTTCTTGAGTCACGACCATGTTTCCATACATGACAGCAGTACTGGGTAGTCTTTAAAGCGGCATATTTAAATTGAAATCACCCGTCAAACAATCATGACTAGATAGATATATTAAAACTTAAGGATTAAGTGTTTAAAGGGGCTGTGACTTTTCTCACTATTAAGGCAAACTGGTTGTGTCTTTTCTATTATAGCTAATATCTTATTTAAATAAAGGCAAAATTTCAACCAAAAATTAATTAAGTGTTTGAAACGAAACAAATGAAACTTCGCAGAGACGTTTACGTGAGTTAACATTTAAAACCAATATATTATCGATGCAATAAATGGTAATACAAATAGACCACCCAAATAAAGTTATTGGTTTAAACAACATAAATGTGGATTGACTCATACATCAATTTTTTAACTATAGACCACCAATAGAGCAATCAGTCAATCATCGTTAGAAGAACTTTTCTAGACTATAGAAATTCCTCTGAGTTTATTCGATTTATTTTTTGGACAAAAACTCTCGATGTGAAAAAGAAATTGAAATACCACATAATTTTGCTTGTTTTTGTCGTTTGTTTGTATAACTGTAGAACGAATACTGTTTATAGTAGTTTTCAACACTGAAATATGTGGCCTTTTCCAATGTCATTTAACAGTTGTAAAATAATAGCACTTGCAAAACAACAGGCAGCATAACTTTCAAAATGTCACCATAAATTCATATTATCACTACTGAAATGTCCTTTAGTACAAACGCTTTACACTTATAAATGATAGAAGGCTGTTGATATGGTATATTGCAACTGAAAATAAATCAAACGCACTTACATGATACAACACATAAAACGTGGAAATAGTTGTAAGTTCACGCTGTCAAGTCAGATTATATCATGCCTGTATTTGAGCATAACAATATCACGTGGTTTTAATATCTTTCTATCGTAACATTTAATAATTGTAAGGAACATGTTTACGTTTAATTAAAACGAAAAACATTTTAACAATTTAGCACGTTATTGACGTAGTTTATGTCACCAAATGCCATCTAATGTCTTCTTATCAAATTTGATTTATACACAAGAAATAAAAACACGAAAGAATTTGCAATTTACAATAAATCTGATGTATCTTTAAATCTTTATTTCGGTCAAGAATGACCCAAAAAATACTTCATCATGTAGGAATGCGGCCAGTATGCGACCTGAGCCAAATACGTACTAAATATTTGAGCGTAGAAGCACAGTATTAAAATTACAGTGAAAATTGTTGTAGTGAATGTAGGTATACTTGTTATTGTAATTGTAATTTGTATTATTTTTTTCCGATGAAGTCAATTGGATTACGAACTTTACTAAAATTCAGATGCCATCCATTTACGTCTGTAACAAGTAAAACAAAATAGTCAATGTTTGATTATATTGTGTAGAATAAAAGCACTATGTATACAATCATTTTATTTTCTTTAAATATACTAAAGTTATGATTCATTGGCCATCGAGTGGTATGCTTCGATCTGGCTGATGACAGGCACACAAAAAGTGCTAAAAACTATATTTAGTAAACAGATAAATCATGAATACTAGTAGTTGTCGTGAGAACCATAACCCGAAACGTAAACTCCCTTTCCTACATGATTTTCTTATTATTCCGAAACTCATAAAAGTTTACATCGACAATAATTGTCAATATGAAAATAAACTTTACCATAGATGTATGTTCACACCTGTTTATATTAAATCATAAACCAAATAGTAGACCTCCTTGTTTGATACCAGATGGGAAATTACAGACTGCAAGTCATGCAAAGTGATACCGTGCCATGCTCATCTTACAATAATATTACAAACAAGGGGAATATATATTTTGCAATTTATATATAAGTATCAAACATATATGAGATTTAACAACAACAAAAAAAAAGAAGAAGAATGATATTAAGTTTAGCCGTTCAAGGTACTGTAGCAACCAAAATAAAACCCGATTAGGTACTTGTCTACAGGTTGGTATTATCAAATTTACTTGTATTTTAGCTTTATTTTGCCCGGAATCGATGTGATTAGCCAGTATAGAGCCAGACTAGCCTTAGCATCCGCACAGTATGACCAGTTCTTAACGACTTACGATTAGTATTTTTACTTTATGAAGTAGCATATTCCAAATTAAATCAAGACAAATCTATGACACACGCTCATCAGATTAAGGGCTCAGTTAAACATTAATAAAGCCCAACTAAATTCATTCTGGGCCTTTACAAATCGTATCGTTTATTTTTATCATGTAAAATGTTTCAATTTCATTCAAATTTTATTATACCTATCATGAAATGTTATGAGTGGCCATAAAATTGTCTATATCATAATATTCTCCTACATTTTTGTAATGAAATATTATAGTCCAATGACTTGCAACTTTTCCTTTAATTGATATCATGAGATGGCCCATTTTTAATTTAGTTACCATTTAATTTCATCCTACTGAATTAAATTGTTGTTTATGTGTAACATTATACTTAGACGAATATTTCAATCTGTAAAACATGAGATAAGATAAGCCCCTTCCATTGAATCACAAGCTTACTTATGACTATTGTTTCAGGGAATACTTAAAGGTAAGTGTATGAGGATGACAAGTTATACATTTTTTACATTTCTAGTTACACATGAACCTTGATCAAACAGTAAAGGAAGTAGATAATACTGGTGCAGGATATAGAATTGGTGAAAATGAAATAAATATATGCAGCCGTTTTCATGTTTTGCAGCAGTTGATGTTTAATTTAAAATGTACGTTAAGATGACATAACAAAAATAATGGAATATACATGCTTGAGATGATGTAAGGGTACAAATTGAATCACCTAGCACTGGTACAGGATGCTGCAAATGACATATATACTCAAAAAGTTAACACGGAAACGATACAGACTAAAGCGGCAAGCCTAGCAGAGATAGAGAAAAGAAAGAACGATATTCTTAGTTAATCCGTAACCTGTGGGAACTAAAGGAGACTAGCATTTGCAATGAGTATAAAGCTATGCCAATCTGCATTATCGGTGTGTACCATATTAAAAAGATATAAAGCTATACCTAATAAAATAGTTTATGTAATTATTGTAAAATTATATTGTTTCTAAAATGTGATGGTCAATTCCCGAAAAAGTTTTAACATAAGATGTCCTTGTTTTAACGCCCATTAATATTATTATTACATTAAAAAATAAACGGTTTGTAACAAAATATTACGTTATATTTGAAGTAGGGATTTAATCGTTTTGCAATGTTTCGGTACATGCAAAATTGGCTCTAAAGGAAATATATAAAAATATTTTTGTCGGAAGCTATTTTGGAAGTATTCTTTTTCAAACAAGCATTAATTTGGTAAACTTCCGTCAGCAGATATATAGTTTTATACACTTTTAATATTTAAAGGCATACACGTACTGTCCTTTCGTTATAAGATTGCAGTGTACAAAAGATACAAATTGGATCATGAAGTTCTTATATTGCCTAAAAAAGGGTTTATTCCAGTAACCTTTGGGTTTTCCAAATCGTATTCTCAGCATATATAAAAATACCTGATTTACCCAATTGATACCTAACTGAAAAACTGCTTTTCGATTTGAAACATCAAAGATAATGAGGAAAAAGTAATTAGGTTTGTATTTCATTCTAGTACGATGAATACATTTTAAATTAAACAAAAATCGAATGATTCATGACTGATAGAGCTTTCTTTACCAATTTCAATCACTAAGAATTTGTTTTCAATTAAGATCTCTTCGACCACCTGTTGTTTCAACTTCCGCGTATTATTAGACTCATATGTATTAAGTCAACTGCGGTATTAATATTAAGAAACATAAGAATAAAAAGTATACAAAACCAACCTTATAACTAGTTTATGCGTAATATAAGTGTAATGTAAGTGTAAGGTAAGTATACAATAAGTGTAATATTGTTGCAATATCAATATAATTATTATAAGTTTAATATAAACAATTACATAGAATGAAACTATAGCTGTGAGGAGTGGTGACAGAATAGGTCAATCCTTATTGCCATCAACACATGAAGGATTGAAAATATTTCACCCCAAGACATAACGTAGGGTAACATAATTAACGCAGCTGTACCGTACTAAAACGCATTTTAGTATTGACTTACTGTTATACCTTTTCTTCAAATATTTTCCTTAACTGAAAAATGGTAGCTCATAAAAGACAAATCTCCTACGCGTTCTTTTTTAAATTGAAGATGAAATTTATCATTGTTTTACCTCTTTGAAGAATAAAAATGGTTGATTAAATAATATGTCTAGACAAATTACAAGATTGTATGAAAATTTGTCCGAAACAAAACCTTGTAGATATGTAGAGTGCTTTGTAAAATTTAATGGAACATTAATGGCCAAACTAATGGGTTTAAAAAAGTGTATCTAAAACAGAAAGCGCGTCATTATATACGCAAGATGATACGAACATCAAAGACGAGAATGGTTTTTGTACTAATCAAATTATTGTTGAAGTTAAACAGAGAGGAGATGCAGGGGCGCTGACTAAATATGTTTCTAATAGACAGCGGTTGGAAAATTATCATTACATAAAAATACTGTAGAGAATATCTGTGAAAAGTAAGTTTTGGGTCTCATTATTTCACATGCTCTGTTACGTGTTTTGTTATGAATGATGTAGCATTCCTGTGATCGTGGGAATTGGCATGCATTCTATTAAATGAATAAAATGAAATATAAGAAGCTACGATGAAAGGGAAAGAACCTTCAACTCTTTCTTTCTATCTAATCAACTGATATAGGATGTCCTAATTGTTTTCCTGTGTAGTCAATATAAGGGGGCAGGGGACCTAAAAATGAAAACCCAATTCACAATTTTTTTTTT